TTTCGCTCGGAGCGAGAACACGGTGACGGATGGCCCTCCTTTCTTTCCCCTTTGGTCCCTTCATCTCCTCGCCGCGCCGCCGCCACTGACCACGCTGCTCTCCGAAAGAGGCAGGCGGGAGCGTTTGCTGGCGGGCGGGTGGCTCAGTCACGATGACTCGAGCTGGCCCACGACGACCAACGCGTCCCCGCCTGCGCGCCGCGTCCCGCCCACTCTAACCTTGCCTCCCTGCCGCGTGCGGGTGCATGGCGGTGTGCGTCGCGATGCGTCACGGTGGATCATTCCGGCGTGTGCCCTGCCGCGTCTCCCCTCGTCCCCGTCATCGGACGTTTGTTCTGCGGGCGGCGGGGGTCGTTCGAGTCGCCGGTCGGTCGGCGGTGGCGGCCAGGGTGGCGGCGGCGACGGTCGGTGGCCGTGCTGCGCCACACGGACGCGCGCGCACTTGCGCGAGCTGCGCCGCGGCCGCGACCGTCGCTTCTGCGCCGCCCCCCAATCCCCCATCCCGCACTTGCCTCGCGCCGCCGCGCTCCACTCGCCGTCCGCCCGCTCGCGCGTAACCTTCTTGGCGCCGCCCGGCATCTGACAAGGCGGCGGCCGTGGCGGCGGACGCGCGCGCCAAGACGCGTTCCTCTCTCCTCGCTCCTCCCGCAGCCGACCTCGCCACCCTCCCCTCCCCTCGCCTCGCCTCACCCCCACCCTCGAGAAGACTCACGCACCGGAGCCGGAGCCAGTCTGCCGGCCGCGCCAAGGTGCGTGCACCCTCGCGCGCGTGTGCGACGCGTCGCGCCCGCCATGGCCGCCATCGCCGCCATCGTCTGACGTGGCCGTCGGCCGTTTCAGCCCTTGCCCTTCGGCGACCTTCCTCCTCCTCCACCATCAACACCGTCCTCGACTCATGGCCGTGCGCGTCCTGACTCCCCTGCTGCTGCTCGCACCCGTAGCCCACCGACCACCGCGTATAAAGCTCATCGCCCCCCTCGCTGCCGCAGCTGGTGCCGCTGGTTCACCTCCATCACCTACCCCGCTCGTCCGTGTCTCGTCCCTGAAACCCGCTGGCTGGTTTCGCTGCCCAACGGTACGCCCTCTCCTCCTCTCCTCGGCTCGGCTCGGCGCTGCATGGTGCAAGTGTGCGTGTGTGTGTGTGGAGCGAGAGTACGTGGACGCGGCCGTGCCCCCATCTTATCGATCGGCTACGATGGCCCCCGGCGGCCGGGCGTCCGACTCACGGCGGCCATCGCGTCACCGCTGACGTGACGACGCGACGCGAAGGTGCCCGACGCTTCGCGCGCTCGCGCCATGTGACGCGGCCGCGTCGGCTCTCCGGCGGGGCGGCGGCGTCACCTGGGCCGGCCTGCGCCACGTCGCACCTCCGTGTGATGTGTCATGCGAATTCCGCCTTCCCTGCCCTTCCCTCACGCGCGCTCCCTTCCCGCCAAGCCTCGCGGCTTCCCGTTCCCCGTTTCCCCTTCGGCCGGTCGTCGCCGAAGGCCGCCGCAACACGTTGTTGCGTGCTGCGGCAGCCCGCCGCGTCGCCCACCGCCGCGCTCGCCCTGCTGACCTGATCCCCAAATTTGGTCGCGCGCCTCCATCGCCATCGCCTCGCTCGCTCCCCGCCTACTTAATCCCCCGGCGCCCCCCGCCCTCCCTCCTCTCGGATCCTCGCCTCCCAAGGTTTCCACACCGACCCTCCCTCCACCGCCCGCCCCACCACGCCATGCTTGTGTCTGCCCCGAACGCTCTCCTCTTCTCGACTGCCGCTCGCCCCACCGCCTCCACCGCCAACACCGCCACCACCGCTGCTCTGCCTCCGCCCCGACCTCGCGGCCGCTGAACACACTCGCACACTCGCGCACTTGCACCACCGTCGCCGCTCGCTCTCCTCGCACCGGTGACTCGTGCTAAACCCGATCGCGCCGACGCAGACCCGCACGCATCTCCCGCTCGCCCCGAACACGCCCGCGCGCTCGCGACGCGCCACACCTCCCTCCCTCCACCACCACCTCCCACGACCTGCTTCGTGACGCCGGGCGCCTTCGGTCAATAAACGCGCCCCTCGCCGCCATGTCGTGCTAAGCACCCCGCTCCCCGCGCACCTCGCGATCCCTCGAAGAAGACCTCCTCCCCCGACCCCATCTTCCCGAGTGACCTTGTGTTCACCCTCCCCTACCTGCCCAAGATGCCTCTCCAGTGATTCCTCTCGACCCAGAACCCCCTCTCCTCTACACTACTCCCGACTGCCTCAGTCCCTCCTACCTTCCCGCCCACCAACACCACTACGACGTCCACCACCACCAAGATCACCACCACCCTGCCCACCATGGTCTTCTCGCTGCAGCCCGGACAGACCGTCCACCACTACGAGGTGGTCGCCGAGCTCGGCTCGGGCGCCTTTGCCAGTACGTTGCCTCTCTCGCACTCGCTCCTCCCACTGCACGCGATGCTAACTGCCCCTCGCAGCCGTCTACACGTGCTTTGACCGCCGCCTGCGCGCGCCCGCCTCGCCCGACGCGGCCCCGCTCGCCCTCAAGGTCATCTCGAAGCGCGACCTCGACCGCGACCAGCTCGCCCTGACGCGCCTCGAGGTCGACATCCACGTCAAGCTGCCCGCGCACCCGCACATTGTGCGCCTGCTCGAGTGGTTCGAGGACCCGCACGCCCTCTACCTCGTGCTCGAGCGCTGCGACTACGGCGACCTCTACGACCTGGTCCTCTCCCCGACCTCGTCGCTCGCCTCCACGGTCGCCACCACCGCCACGCCCGCCCACTCGGTCTCGCACCTCTACCCGACCCCGCACTCGCTCGCCTCGTCCATGTCCATGACCTCGGCCGCCGCTGCCGGTGCCGGTGCCGCCACCAAGTCGCGCCGCGGCCTCCCCGACGCGGTCGTGCACCGCTACATGCTGCAGATCACGGACGCGCTCGCCGCGTGCCACGCCAACGGCGTCTACCACCGCGACCTCAAGCCCGAGAACGTGCTCCTCGCCGGCCCGCTCGCCCGCGACGGGTTCCCGTCGTCGACCAAGCTCGCCGACTTTGGTCTCGCGACGCGCGAGGCCTTCTCGACCGAGCTCGGCCTCGGCACCCGGTCGTACCTCGCGCCCGAGTGCCTCGACGAGAAGATCGACGGCTACGCCTCGGCCGCCGCCGACGTGTTCGCGCTCGCCCTCGTCGCCCTGCAGCTCGCGCACCCGGGCGTCCGCCTCTGGAAGGCCACGGTCGACGACGACGCCGACTGGGCCGCCTTCTGCCGCGCCCTGCACGACCAGCGCCACTACGTGCGCACGCACGCCGGCCACCACCACGGCCACCACGGGCATCGTGGGACCAGCCACGCGGCCGAGCCCCTCGCGCGCTTCTTCGCCGCACGGTTCCCGCAGATCTCGCCCGCCCTACAGCGCCTCCTCGCGCGCGCCCTCGACCCCGTGCCCGCGCGCCGCGCCACGCTCGCCGAGTTCCGCCGCCTCCTCGCGCACGTCGACGCGTTCGCGTGCAAGCACACGCCGTCGCTCCTCGTCGCCTCGATCCACGCCAAGCACGCGCCGCGCGTCCGTATCGGCGGCGGCGGTATGGCCGCTGACCTCCTCGAGCCCGAGGCCGACGCCGCCGGCGTCCCGCACGTGCCGCTCCCCGCGGGCGCCGTGCACGTGGATATCGGCGACATGGACTTTGGCGACGTCATGGCCGGCCACGGGCACGACGATGATGGGGATGACTACGACTCGGACGAGGAGTCGAGCTGGGCCGAGGACGACGACGACGAGGAGCTGTTCGACGACGAGGATGCCGACGACGACGAGTACGACGGTTACTCGGACGACGGCGAGGCCGAGGACGACGCTGTCACCGCCCCCGCCCCCGCTTTCGCTGTGCCCGTCGCCGCCGTCGCCGCCGCCAAGGCCGCGCTCCCGCTCGCCGGACCGCACATCTTCGCCACGGCCGCCGCCGCGTCGCCGCGGCCCTGGACCTCGATGCTCGCCCCCGTCGCCGCGGCCCTCGCCCCGCCCAAGCCCGTCGCCGCCGCCGCTGTGCCCGCGCTCGCCCTCGCCCCGCCGTCCGTCTCGAGCAGCCACATTGACTGGTCCGAGCTCGACGAGGACGACGACGCGCCGCTCGCGCCGCCCACCACGACCGCCTCGCGCCCAACGCTGCCCACGACCTCGTCGTCGGCCACGCTCGTGCCCTCGGCGTCGACGGACGACCTCATGCTCCTCAAGGTGCCGGCGGCCGTGGCCGACGCGGCCAAGCAGCGCCAGGAGTCGCTCGACTCGGCGCTCGGCCACTCGATCACGGCGGGCGTGGCGCGGCTGCGCGTGTGAGTGGTGTCCAATACACGCTACGCTCTCCCTGCCTCGCTCGCCTCGTGGCTCGGCCCGTTGCAGCCTTCTTCCCCTCCTCCAACCCATCCCCTGCCTCCCCTCTCTCTCCTCGCTTTACCCCCTTTGCCCTCGTCTCTCTCCCATTTAACTTGTAAACAATGCATTCTGCGGCTTCGCGCGCTCCCATGTACATTATACACTCTCATGATCATGCGAACTTGCTCGTCTTGAAGGTCGGTTGTGAGCGCTCTGAGAAGAAAGGTCCGCGAGCTTCTTCGCACTCGCGGCAGCTGGACACGCGCTGGCCGGGTGGCGAAGCCGCAGTCAAAAGCTGAGCCACCATGGCCTCGGACAGCTTGGATCGATGGTCTCTGGCCTTGCGGGCCCGCACGGCGGCGCGCTCTTAGTTGAACGTGCAGGGCCTTTTTCAAGAAAAATAGGAGCATTGTCGCTCAAGTGACTTCCGTGGCCGAAGCTCGCTCAAGCGAAATGAGCAACGCGTCAAGCGTGGCGTGGCGTGCGAGTTCGAGCGGCCGCCGAGCCGGCTTCAGCTACCGTGGAGGTCACGAGCAACGAGCAAATTTGATTTTTAGGCGACCAAGGCCTCGAACAAGCTTCTACGCACTGATTGAATCGTGGGCAAGTCAATTTCAAGCAGCAAAACACTGATAAACGACGCAAAATCGACCCCGGCGAGGATCGAACTCGCGATCTTTGCTTTAGGAGAGCAACGCCTTAATCCTCTTGGCCACGGGGCCGCCAGTTTCTGTACCTTTCCAAGCGAAATCAAATAAATCTCTTCCAGAGATGCCCGCTCAACAGTGTTTCGACGCGGTGAGGCGGTGGGAAACGTTTGCCAAAGTGGCACACTGTTGTAGCGAGGCTAATCGCGTCTTTTGCCAGTCGCAAGCGCGCAGGACCAAGGGGGGGAATGTTGACAAGGGATCCGCGGAAGCAACGCTCGAGGGCCAGTGACCATTCAATGCAGTGGGGTTTCATGGAGTTTCATCGTGTTCCATCAGGTCCGTGCATCGCGCTCGAGACTGCGAGAGAGGGCGGGCGGCACCGGCGCAGCGCCAAGGTGTTCGGGCGAGCGCCACCCGGCGGCTTCCGTCGCGACGCGCTCACATGACGGCGACGCGATCGCCCGCCGCTCCTTCGGTCCTCTGCTCCGAACCCTCTCAGTCTGCCTGCTCCTCAAACGGACTCGTATGTAGCCCTACGCACCATGAAACTGTCTCTCTGACCCGCGCTACTGCCCGGCGTAGCACCATGGCGACCCCACCAACAGCAGCCGCCGCCGCCGCGGCGATCACCAAGCCGGCCGACTTTGTCCCGCTCGACACGCTGTTCCGGGTCTCGCTGATCAAGCCGCCGACGTGCGGCCCGTCGGGCCTGGTCCTGGTGCTCGCGCTGCACAACGACCTCGGGACACGGGTCGCCCGCGCGGGCGTCGCCGTGACCGTGGCGTGGACCGAGTCTGCCGCCGCGAACCCGCGCACCACCGCCGCGCCCGTCTCGCGGTCGTGGACATCCCGCCCGCTCGACCTCGACCAGTTCTCGGCCGCGCCGCTCACGGTCCCCGGGATCCGGTCGCTGCGCGGCATCAACGCGCTAAGCGTGTCCGTCGGCTCGCGGTCGCTCGAGGACGTGGCGCGGGTGTGGGACAAACCCGCTGACGGCAGCACCGACGCAGAGCTCGAGTGGACGCTCCCGCTGCACATCTCCTTCACGGGCGCGGACCCCGTCTTCTCGCGGCGGTTCGGCAGCGTGACGGTAGTCGAGCCGTCGGCGTTCGCGCACACGCCGCTCGGGTCGAGCGTGTGGGACGGTGCGCTGGTGCTGGCGGGGTTCCTGGGCCGGTCGCCCGCGTGGCGGCGGCGCGTCGCGGCGGGCCCGACGCTCGAGCTCGGCGCCGGGTGCGGGTTCCTCGGCCGGTGGCTCGCCAGCACGATGCCGGCGGCCGCCGCCAAGTCGCTCAACTTCGTCATGACCGACCTGCCCGACGTCATGGACTACTGCCGGTCCAACGCGCCCGCGGCGATCGCGTGCCACGCGTTCACGTGGGGCGAGGAGAACACAGACGTGGCGGGCGCGCCGTGGTGGGCGGACTTCGCCGGCGTCAAGCGCGACGGCGACGGACCGTTGGTCCTCGTCGGGTCGGACCTCATCTACAACGAGAAGGTGCACCCGGCGCTGCTGGCGGCGATGCGCGCGCTCGCCGCGGGCCGCGAGGCGGGCACGGTGATGCTCATGTCGTTCAAGCGGCGGTCGCCGCGCGGCGAGCTCGCGTTCCTCGACCAGTGCCGCCGCGGCGCCGCGGGGCCCGCGTTCACGCGTGTTGCGCTGCTCGCGCGCACGGCCGAGGTGTACGTGGTGTCGATTTCAGCGGGACCAGCGCCGCCGATGAAGGAAGAGCAATAGATGTTATCACGCGCCGACCGATCATCGTGCACGCGTGAGAGATATCGCGTCACGCGTCGATGTCTCGCGGCGAGACAGTCACGCGGGTCGGCTGCGCCTCTTCCTCTTTGTGTGATCATCGCGGCGCGCCCTGATCCACCCGCGCCCGCGCCCGCGCCTGCGCCACACTGCAGGACGACGAACGGATGGGATATAAGATGGAGGCACCGCCGCCCGCCGTGCTCGCAAACCGAACCTGACCCGCTACACTGCCATGGATACTGCACCTGCGACCCCCCGCACCGCGGCCGCTGCTGCCGCCGCCAACATCACCCGCGCGCTGCCGTCGCCACCATCACCACACGTGAAGGCGGCAGCGCCAAGGCCCGACGCCAAGGCGCGCGACAAGCCGTGGATGTCGTTCATCGCTGGCGCCGTCGCCGGCAGCGTCGAGATCACTCGTACGCGCTACCATCCCGTCGTCGCGCCCGACCACCGCTGATCCTCATGTCCGCGTAGTCACGTACCCGACCGAGTTCACCAAGACGCAGCTGCAGCTGCCGGAGACGCCATTCACGAGCCCGGTGCACGTCCTGCGGCACTACGTGACGACGCACGGCGTGGCGTCCATCTACACGGGGCTCGCGCCCATGGTCGCCGGCACCGCGGCCAAGGCGTCGGTCCGGTTCCTGACCTACGACACGCTCAAGCAGCAGCTCGCGTCGACAGCAACGCCGAAATCCCTCGTCCCGCTCGTCGCGGGGCTCGGCGCGGGCGTCGCCGAAGCCGTGCTCGTCGTGACCCCGAGCGAAGTCCTCAAGACGCACATGGTCGACGCGCACCGGGCCACGGGCGTCGCGCCGTCGGCCTCCGCGACGCTGCGCAGCATCGGCGTCCGCGGCCTGTGGCAGGGCACGCTGCCCGTCGTCGCGCGGCAGGCGGCCAACTCGGCGGTCCGGTTCGGCGCGTACGGGTTCCTGCGCGAGCACCTCGCCCCGGGCGTCGACCACCCGGCCATGACGTTTGCGCGAGGCATGGTCGCGGGGACCGTCACCGTGTACGCGACCATGCCGCTCGACGTCGTCAAGACCAAGATGCAGGCGCGCGACGCGCGCGCGCGGTATGCCGGGTCCGGCGACTGCGTCCTCAAGACGGTCAGGGAGGAGGGCGGCGTCACGGCGCTCTGGCGCGGAGCGACGCCGCGGCTGTCGCGGCTCATGTTCTCGGGCGCCATCGTGTTCACTGTGTACGAGGAGGTGATGCGCGTGCTGCGCGCGGTCGCGGAGTGATTGATCCTGTACAAAGTCGGCAGAGTATATTCATAGTATGTCTTCCCATCTGGTCCCATCGCGCCTTAAGTCTAGAACATGAACGGCTGCGCCGTCGTCGTCGTCGTCGCCGGTTTCTGGCCCGCGGCCTGCGCGCCGAACGGGTTGCTCGACGCGGCCGTCGCCGCCGGCTTGCCGAACGGGTCCAGGTTCGCAAACGGGTCGCTGACCGCGACGTAGTTCGGCCCGGCAGCCCCCGTGGCCGCGGACGTGGCACCGTTGCCGCCGAAGGGGTTGGACGTCGCGCCGCCGAAGCCCGTGGCCTGCGGCTGCTGCTGATGCATGCCCATGAACCCCGTCGACTGCATCCCGAACGGCTGCTGCTGGGACTGCTGCTGCGGCTGCGACATGCCCGAGAGACCCATCCCGAACGACGCCGACGCCGTCATCCCGAACGGGTTGGCTGCGGCCGCGGGCTGCTGCTGCATCCCCATGAACCCGGTCGACTGCGGCTGCTGCATCCCGCCCATGAACCCGGTCGACTGCTGCTGGACGCCGCCCATGAAGCCCGTTGACTGCATACCGAACGGCTGCTGCTGCGACTGCTGCATGCTCGACATGCCCATGCCGAACGACGGCGACGACGTCATACCGAGCGACCCCGCGCCGTTACCGAACCCGGTCGACTGCGCGCCAAACGGATTCGCCGCCGTCGAGCCGTTCGCGAACCCGTTGCTCCCGCCCGTGAGCGCCATCGACACGGCGGCCGCGGGCGCGGGCGACGCCGACCGCTGCGCGCCCGTCAGTGTGCCCATGGGGTTGGGGCTTGGGTTCGCGAACGGGTTGAACGAAGAGGACTGCGACCCGCCGAACTGCGACCCCGTCGCCTGCGGCTGCTGCATGCCGAACGGGTTCCCCGTCATGGCGCTCCCGACGGACCCCGTCGGCATCGGCGGGACCGGCGACCCGCTCGCGAACGGGTCGAACAGCGGGCCCGGCGCCGCGCTCGCAAACGGGTTCTGCCACGGCGACCCGGGCCCGGAGCTCGCGGTATGCGTCGGGCTCGCGTAGTTGCCCGGCGACGACGAGGAGGCAAACGGGTTCCCGCCATTCGCCGAACTGCCGCCGAACGCCGACGACGACGCGCCCGTCGCGCTACTCGCGACGCCGTTGAACCCGAACCCGGCCGACGAGAAGGGGTCGAACGGCGCGGCGCCCGCGGCCGGCGCTGGGTACGCCGCGGCCACCTGCTTGGTGTTGTCCTCGAGCGCCGAGAAAAAGTCGATGAGCGCCGGCGGCGGCGCGGCCATGGGCGCGGGCGGCGGGCCCGTGGGCGTCGGCGCGATCGCGATCGACAGCTTGCGCGCGGTCGGCGAGGTCGAGCTCGATGAGGGCGCAGCGGGCGATGGCGACGAGTACTGGCGCTGCTGCGGGGGCGGCGATGCGGCGCCGTTCCCGTTCCCGTTCCCGTTGTTGTTGCGCGGGATCGTGCCGAGGTTGCCCTTGTCGAGCTCGGCCTCGAGCGAGTCGGCAATGTCGGGGATGTGGCGGAAGTCGGGGACCGAGATCTGCAGGACGCCGGGCGGGAACCCGCGTGCCGTGGCGAGGAAGGTATCGACGGCCTTGGCCTGGGCGACGAGCTGGCGGAACAGGGCGATGCCGTTGCGGGCGAGGGGCGGCGGCAGGTCGCCGAGGCGCTGCAGGATGTTGATGACACCCTCGTTGAGGATGTGGTAGAGGCGCATGAGGTCGCGCAGGAGCAGCTTGAAGGCGGCGAGCGTCACCTCGTTGTCGATCTCGGACGCGGCAAAGTGCGCGCGCAGGAGGACCTGGAACTGGCGCAGCACCGCCGCCAGCTCCTTGATCAGCGCGTCGTTGACGGGCGCCGTGCGCATGGCCCGCGCCACGTCCGTCGGCAGGTGCGCGTCGCGGTTGATGCTCCCGTACGAGTCGGCCGACTGCTTGGTCGGGGATGCGGGGCGGCAGTAGTCGCGCTTCTGCTCGCGGTAGACGTGCACCTTCTCCTCGAGGTACGCCGCGTACCGCGAAATGTTCTTGCTCTGCTCGATGCGCACGCCCGACGAGTC